ATATTTCTGAAAGTCATTACTCTTTCGGCTCAATTTATTAGTTGTAAAAATACTAGTACTAAAACGTTTTCATGAAGAACTGAAATTTAAATCCACAATCTTATAGAGCAGATTTTACTTTTTACCTATTTTAAGATCTATATCTCTACGTATAAACAAATTTATTTTCATTTAATTAAATATTTTTAAGTGAAAGTTGTCTAAATATTTTAATTTTAATTAAATTTGTTAATACATTTTCTAGTAAATCATTGATACGGTAAGCGAAGAAACGAAGTTAATTTGAAAGAATGAAAGAAACAAAAAACAGACAAGATTAACAAATCAAAAAATTAAAAGATTGAAAAGTAAAATAAATTTAAAAAAATAGAATTTAATATTAGTAGTTGTTTTTCGCCGCTTCTGGACTAAGGTCAGAGCTAATTATAAAGAAAAGGAGTGTAATGATTAATTATTTTAAGTCCCCACCTTATTAGAATTAGTAACTAGGTATTTTAGTTTAATTTACACATTAGAATACATAGTTCTTTAATACGTAGGTACTTTAAGTACTTTTCCGATACTAACCAAGCTGCAGAACGCTAATAGCTATAAGGCATGTTAATTACTATCTGAGCGACTACACTAATTGCTAATTGCAATTAAGTGGGACGCTGCGGACAAGTATTTAGGGAAATTATTCATCAATTTCTTCTCTCATTGTCTCTGATCTTAGTTTAAAAGCAGCTAAAACTACCTTAACGGAAACAATAAATTCTAGAACAACTATATTGTTTATGATAACGAATAATTACATTAAGTTAGAATCTGCAAAAGGCTGGAACCACCTGGAACTCTAGATCAATTATACTCAAACTTCTATATTCGTTCAAGGACGTACTGAGCCAAGCATCTTGGAGCAGTTCGTTTGTCACGTTGTGTGAGGTTAGAGGTCCAAGAATGAATGTTATCAACAAGAGGTTGGCCGATGACAATATTTATAAAATATTCTAATGATCTCTGTATGGCAAACTGATGCCGACTGAATGAATTCTCTAAAATTATGGATCCTAAGTATATAATGGGACAATATAAATTTCAGCATCAGAATTAGGCTTGTTTTGAATTTATTAATGGCAGCGTGGATGCTGCGAAACAACCTATTACCAAGCATAATGAAGTTAAATTACCCTTTTGATGAGGATGCGGCAGAGTATTATCGAAAACTACAAGAAATTGGTTTAGTGGTCATAATGTAACTGTTCTTTCTTGACCTTAATGTTATTAAAACAGTATTGCATAAAACGAAACAGATATCAAATAACAAGTCACAATGGACATTACCAGAACTGAAGCCAAAACAGAGCAGATTTGGAATGAATTTCTCTCTGAAAAGTGCATTGATTAAATTCCCAACCGATGACAATTATAAAATTTTAATAATAATGCCAATAAATAATGTTTTTTTTTTATTTGACTGCGCAGCCCTCCTAAAGATATTTTGTTTCAAAGTGGCCCACGATCCTAAAAAGGCTGCCGACCACTTATCTAATCTAAGAATATAAGTAGGTTGAATATGTATATGGGCTGACAATTTTAAAACTTACAATGGCTGTATCTCATGAAATAAAGATATCAAAACAGTAAATCTAATAAAAAATTAGTTTGTACTACAGTGCTAGAAATATTTAAAAATATTTATTTCAGATACATGCCATCTTCTTTTCAAATAGATTTTTAATTATTATGTATTATTAAACAAAACTAATATCGTTGAAAGGAATTTTTTACTAGCTTTCCAATGATGTATGACAAGTAGGTGGTTGCAATTTGTTGAGGTAGGTGGCGCATCATAGGAGTTGATAGGGACGAGTTCTGTATTTTCTCATTTAAAGGTGTTAATCATTTTTTGATATTATCTTTAGTTCATGAGATACAGGAGTTGTAAAATTGTTATCCCTATAATTTGTCAATTTGTCCCATTATAAAATATTGTTTTGTTTAATTAAATCAGTTCAGTTCATGAAAACGTAGATGGACGAGGAAAAATGTAAAGAATAAAGTTTACAAAACATACAAAGTTTACATAAATATTTGATTCAAAAAAAGAATGAAATTTAAGTACGGTTCTGTGACTAGTAGATTTATTTTCGAGATGAAACTTTTAGGCGAATTTACAATTGAGGTGCCATTAAAAAATCTAAATAACAAAAAAAAATGTTTAGAATAATCTGAAATGAAACGTCATTTCGTTTGATTTCAAATTATTATTGATATGATAACGTGCACTTATAAATTAAAATCTAATAAAACATATCTTTGGTGTGTCTTAGTCACTAAAATATAATAAAATAAAATATACTATAGACAATAAAAACACAGTAAAAATTAAGGTGTAAATAAATAACATAGATTCTTCGTAGTATTTTGAGACCAATGTATATTTTACAATAATTATTTGCTTGATTTCAATTCATCTAAAACACAAGTAATTATACAAAAACAAATACTACAAATATCTTATCTACACTCATTCATTATTCGTTCAGACGTTTTATCCGCATTTGCACTTTTTCATTCTTTGCCACAAGAAACCATTTTGATTCAAAATTATAAATTTACTTAAAGCAATAGGAAGGACTCAGTACTTGGTGTTCTCATAAACGATAATTTGATTTGTTGATTTAGCCAAAATATTAATTATAGTTTAAAAATATTGGATTTTTTACTTCTGCAAAACGTATCTATATGAAATTTATATTTTTGATTGTTTTACTTCACTTTGTATAAAAATAACGTTATATCTATTTATGAAAAGAGAACATAAAAAATATATTGGACGAGACGCAGATTATGGCCGAGCGACCGTAGCGTAATTAAAATAAAGTATGTATAAGATGCACACACAGCAAAAATTGCCTTACTAAAAATTTACTTTTCCTTAAATCTTTAAAAAGACAATACGTGTACATTCCTGACGAAACGTTTGGTAACAGCTCTCTTACTATTTCTTAAGTTTAAATTGTGTTTATTTCTATATAAAATAATCCAATGGTTTATTCAAAATTTCTTTGGACTCGTAGGTAGAGTCTACAGTGGCGTAGCTAGTCTTGCGGGGCGAAGGGGGCATACATTGAAAGAATCACAATAAATATTTTTATTTTCCAGAAAAAACAACACCCTGTATATCCTAAAATATTTTTAAAATATGTCTTGTTTAAATCCATATACTTTTATTTGAAACTTGTTTGTGTATCTATAACACAAATTGATTTATCAAGCAATTACACACATCCTGTATAATATATGAATATTCTCACGTCATTTATCACTATTTCAAATAGCATTTGTACAATAACGTTATTTCGAATTTTTTCATCCATTTTTTTGTTGTAGACTTCGGAATCGTATGCATGTCGCTAAAACGTGATATTTTATCAAGAAATTTATTAAAACAAAAAAGCATACGTTTATTAATTGTTTAAAGTGCATCGACTATTTTACGACCTATTTTAGCGTATGCAAATATCTTAAACACTTCCAAAATGTATGCACAAACTTTTTTTCGCGCATATTTACCCAATAGTTTCACATTGTCTAATTGTATACATTAAATAATTGATCCCAGTAATTACATAAAAATTATTGTATGCAAAGTACCTTTTTGTGGTCTATTTAACAACAAAAATAATGCTGTGAAAAAGCATACGTTTAATAATTGTGCTTTTATTTGTTCTATTTTACATGTTCAATTAACAATTTTGAGATGTATTACACGAAAGAGGCAAATTATTTTCCGCAGTAATTTTTTTTTTAAATTTTAACAAAAAACGATTTGTATGCATTTACGGAATACAAATTCAAATTTCCTTGGCGACGCCGCTGCATGCGAGCACTCGTAGATAATTGATAATAACTTAAAACATGCATACATTAAAAACGTTATTCTTTTAATAATAATGTAAATTATTAATTTTAAAACCGAAAAAGGTTTTTTTTATTTGTTTTCTTTTAGCACTGGTCGTATATAGAATTTTACGAAACCAGTTTCATAATGTTCCACATTATGCAACTGGTTGCGTAAAATAGATCAATTTGACACATGCTGCGATTATAAAAAATGTCACTTATAAGTCAAAATTAGAAAAAATAATATTGGAGGCATTTTAAACAAATACGGTGTTGTTTTTTAAAAATATGTTACCAAATATTTTTCAATTTCAATAAATATTACATGGTGTAATAAAAGTAAATAATTATTGGCTATACAGGCGGCAAGAGGTTCCTAGCAACGGGGGCGGGAGGGGTAAGCGTCCCCCCTGGCCCCCACCTGGCTACGCCACTGGTAGTCTAATTATATTATGTTTGAGTACCTGGACATTAATGGTCAAGAAAGACGCTAATCTGAAAAATCCAAAAGGAGCCTCTAAGAATAGATAAAATAATCAATGACCAACAAATTTCAATTATCAAATGTCAAATGTTATCAAAGCACCAGAGTCCCAACTCATCAGACACGATTGGTCTAAATATATACATTCTGCAGATTATAAAATACCTATGCGTTATACTTTCAAGGAATATCAAGAGAGTTTTTTAATAAATCTAATTAAAAATACGTAACTCTTAACGATTTTTGGGGATTTTAAGAACAAATAACATTTAAGTTTATTTTATTGGCGATTAAATATTTAATATATTTGGAATTCTAACAAAAGTAATTTATAAAATTAAAATATACGATAATAATATGAGTTAAAGGTTTTAGAATCACCCTGTATGCTATTGTATAAGATAACAGATACAAAGCAAAATTTAATCAATGGAAAATATTTATTTATTACCTTTAAATCTATTTTTACATTATTATTTTGTTATTTATAAAGATGTCCGTTTATTGAAAACACACGAATATTATACCTTCCACTATCTATTTATATTTATGTTATATTTAATTTTGAACCAAATGGCGCCTTTCATAATATACATATATAATTTCGTACAATCTAGCGGCGAATGCCTTAGGCTAAGTTCAGATCGTGAGTAAAGATATTCTCTGTTTTCAAACAAGCGCTGCCACTTTCAGTTGGCGAGTTGGCTGATGCAAGAGAATTTGCTCTAGTCGCCGCTAGAGGGCTCCGACTGCTTTGGTCTGTGTTTGTATTTGAGTTTACGAAACCTAGTTGTGTTTCATTGCTAATTCCATGTGGGGTAATATCGTTGTTGTAGTAGTACGCACTATCTAAAAAAAATACATTTTTTATAGAAACATTACATTAATTCATTACTGGTAAGACTGTAAAACAGAGTGGAAGTGCCACATTCTGATTACACCATTTAGGAAAACACCTATAATTTAAAATACATACCTAATGATATAAACAAAAAATTTACTGAAATACTGAAGCAAGCTTCCGGAAGTTAAGCAGAAAAATCACTAAATAAGAGTAAGAAAATCACATTCGAATACTCACATCATGAATTATCTAAGTATTTCAATCAGACGTGAATGAAAAAATTAAAACGATATGGTTGGTAAAATGTAAATAAGAATCAAAACTAACCTTAGAAAGGCTAGCGACAGAAAAATAAATATTCAGTTGCTTAAGATGAACCAAGATTATTAATATAGAAAGGATCTAGTTAATATGAAGAACCAAAGAAAGAAATAGTGTTGAAAAAACTAGACCAGGAAAATCGAAGAAAGGTTGTAAAATTATCTAATATCACTTTGTTACAAAGAAAAAATAAAAAATATTTGGAGGTTCGTCAATTAATGCTTATTGGATCTATACTGGTAATACATAACAGATTTGAAACCAAAGTATTTTTAACAAAAGTAAAAAAGCACAGTCATAATTCAGAGTGTTTAAGAGAACTCAAATTAAATCCATGATAGGATAAGCTTGGGAAACAAAATGGTAAGTTAAATTTTAGGAGAAGTAAAGGGGCTAGGGGAGTTCTAGCGCAAACCTTATGTAAATTAACATGGGAAATCGCTAAGGTTCATTCTGGAAATTTTTGACTATATCAAGGTCACTCTTTATGACGTCACGTGTCATGACGTCACCAGCCAACTAATGCCAACCTGATCTAACCTAATCAGAACTGATCCGGTACTGTTCCCGAACTCATCCGGATCAGTTTCAGATCAGTTCTAAGACGGTTCCGGATCAGTTCATGAACAGTACCGGATCAGTTCGGGAATAGTTCCGGATCAGTTCGGGAATAGTTCCGGATCAGTTCGGGAACAGTATCGAATCATTTCGGGTAAGGTTTAGGTTAGGTTAGCAACAGTTGGCTGGTGACGTCATAACGAGTGACCTTGATATGGACAAAAATTGCCAGAATGAATGTTAGCGATTTCCCATGTTATTTTACATAAGGTTTTCGCTAGAACTCCCCTAGCCCCTTTACTAGGAGAAACACAGCAAAATAAATAAAGAATGGAAATAACAAAAGAAAGTTATGCTATATAAGAAAATAAACAAATCTCCAAAACGACAGTAGGATTTTTAGATAATAATCTTTATTGCCGATGCTAAAAACGTCGTGAAAACCTTCCAATCACAAAAAGAAGCAGAAAAATAATGTACAGTCATAAAAATTAAGTTTCTTTTTTACAAAAAAGTTAAAATTAGAATAAAATCCGTATAAGCATATTGAAATGGAGGAGACTATTATAATAGCAAGACACATCACCAACATGGGATGAAAAACTAGAGCAATATGGCAGAAAACAGGTGTATCCTAAAAACAAACAAAGAAAAAAGGTGCCCTTGTTGAAGTTGGTAAAATATATTAAGATAAGCGTGACAGAAAGTTCTTTATATATTCAGCTAGAAGGCGCACTTCCACAAAGTATTAACAATAAATAATTTATAATTTATTCTTGTAACTTAATCGTTAGGTATCATTTTTTCCAAATTTATGACTACAATACTCACTATTTACTTACTGAGTAACCCGCTAGACGCACTACCATATCCGTAAGTTCCGTATGCTGCTCCATACTGACTGTAAGCCGTACTGTAAGCGTAATCAGTCCCTGGTACCATGGTGGTGCCCGCTGAAAACAAATAACACAATTAGAATATTTTTTTAACTTATATAAATTCATATAAGAAATAAAATTATACATTTTATTTTATGTCAATTTTTAATCTCAAAATTATACCATTTTACTAGTTCAAATATCAAAATCAGTTGAATACTAATATCACAGAAAACCGTAAACGAACCTACCAGAATATATGAGATTAGGACAAGAAATGGACTTTAAATAACTGGATAGGTGTGAAAGACATTGAAACCAAACATAACTAGTGACAGTGATGAAAGATCAAAAACAAATATAGGGCATAGAGGTAATTTTAATCGTAAAAAAAATATAGAGACATCCTTAAAAAATACATAGGAATGGAAAGGACATGTAATGAGGAGACCTCCAACAGAAATAATGGAAAGATATCAAATTATCTATAGAAGGACTATCTATAGAAGGAATATCTATAGGACGACTATCTATAGAAGGAATATCTATAGAAGGACTACCTATAGAAGGACTATCTATAGAAGGACTACCTATAGAATTATCTATAGAAGGACTTTCTATAGAAGGACTATCTATAGGAGGATTGGGAAACGAGTAATATTTATAAACAATTTACAAACACAACCGAGATGTACTCTAAATTTCAAATAGATTAAACAAGTATTAATTAATCTCAATAAATTCAACGGAGAAGGTGTTTCAAATCATCTGCTATCATAGAGGATTGCAAGTCCATGGTCTTGATAAAATGATCAAAAAGACAGGAGTAGTATAGTAACGCCAATACTACAACGAAAAATCTGTACGCGCAGATTCGATAATCAAAGGATCTGTATTCGCCGATTCTACAATCAAGTGATCTTTTTACGAGGATTCTTATAGGTATTATAGGTTTACATTTAAGAATCCAAAATTTTTAATATTGGTCCAAATTTAAAAATGTTTGTACCAAAATCCTTTCCATCAAATTTTAAATCACTTTTAAAAATGTCCAACCGTACGTCAAAAACGAAAGATGATAAGTTAAGAATTTTAGGAAAATCAAGCTCTATAACGAGATCTCTGTATCTATAACGTGTGGAGGGTGGGTTACCCCACGGCACTTAGGCGTCACTAGGCCCATTGTGCATCCTCCTGAGATGATAGGCACCTCCTAGCTCGTGAGCCAGCCTACAGATTTAATGTAGTTGACAACGTCGTCAAAAGGTGCCTATTTTATATCGGCCGGTGTTAGCCGATACTCGCCGACCACAAATCTTCTAATAAATGAGAGCGTCGAGCAATCGTAAAGGATATGCTCGATAATCTCGTCTTTTTGTTCGCACCCTCTGCATAGTGCGGATTCTGACAGCCCCATGATATGGAGATGTTTTCGTACTTGATGATCAATCAGAATGCCTGTGACTAGGCGCAGATTCTGTCTAGTCATAGTCAAGTATTTGTTTGCTGCAGTGTTGTCAGGATAACTTAAGAGCTCCCTGGCAACTCTGCAGTTTCTTGTTTCATCCCATCTCTTTTTGAATTTTACTATCGATTTTGTGAGGCCAATAGAATGGCCAGGTCCAAAAAGTATTTGGTTGGCTGCTTTCTTAGCTAGTGAATCAGCAAGACGGTTACCTTTCGATGTGGCGTGACCTTTAATCCATCTTAAGGTGGCCACATTGTTGATGGATACTTCGGCCAAAGCTTCATGACATTCTAGTCCAAACCCTGAATAAATTCGTAGTCTGTTCAGGGTGAGTAGTGCTTGTCTGCTATCTGTATAGATGAGCATGTTCCTTCCAGTGATATTGTTTCTGGTTATTTCTTTTGCTGCTAGGAGAATCTCCGTTAGCTCTATTTGAACTACACTGGCACTATTGCTCACAGCCCATTTTATGTTTAGGTTTACGAATCCTGAGCCTTGTTTTGTTTTGGAACCGTCGGTGTAGATATGAATCGTACCTGCAACTTCCGGCTCTTCTATCTGTTCTATTATACCTTTATATGGCTTATGATAGATATATTTCGGTGAGATAAAGTCTATAAGGAGATAGAACCTAATGATTCTGAACAAATTCTGAATCTCGGATAAGAGGGGGATTTAAATATTGAAAAACCTATATCAAATTGAAATCTTCAGGAATATAAGAATATGAAGCCTACTATTCTGAAAAAATCTGATTAAAAATAGGGGTTAAGGGAAAGGGGGTCTGTTAAATTGTGAAGAATATAATATAGAATGCACTATATATCTTCATTCTAGTTATTTGTCTCCATATAATTTTATATAGTGTTTGTAATAATGGTCTACTTTGCCAATTTTTGGAACTCTTAATTAATACAGAGTCGGCGAAAACATTTCTCTACATTAAAGAGTCTCTTACTGTCGCATCTCTGAATTCTAGAAAACTACTGGAACTATCTAGAACTCTAGTTATAACTTAATGTCGATGTTCAATGATGCACGGTATATTAATATGTACCTAAAAGCCTTTCAGAAGAACCTGCTATTACAAGTTTTAATACTTCATCTTGATAACCATCTTAATCAGCGAAATTAAAGGTTGATTCTTGACGGATAAATGTATTATATTGTTGGAACTACTAGCCTATTAAACAATTTTGCCCAAATCACTTCTGACTTATTTTCAAATAATTGTCCATTGAAAAAGAAATTTAATTTTAAATTATGGCGTTTTTTAAGAGATTGCATCCTGGCTGGATGGATTTATAAAGAAAAAATATAATTTTCCGTGACAAATGTCAACGATGTTGAAGGGAATTTTACTTCAAACACTGAAAAATCTGGCACAACCCTCATGTAAACTCTCTTATTTTGCTGTTGAAATACATTTAATATTACATTCAATATACATTCACCATTACTGATTCCCGAATAATATTATATATACTTAGATTTTAAAGCCATCTCTTACTGAACACATTTTATATTAACTCCAAATAAAAATCAGTTTAACTTAAGAGTAGGACATTGTTGACAACTAAACTACCTTTTACATTATTTATAATTACATTATTTATCGGAAATTTTTTATTTAAGCCGAATTCATTTGCGTTTTAAACAATGGCGGGCACAGCGTCCCTTTTTACCACTAGAATCGCATATTGTTCGTTTGACCGTTAATTAAGTAATCAAAGTGGAGATGATGAGCCGGTTAAGCTTGAGGCTGACGCGCAAGACGTATTTCTCTGTTAGAGAACTTCCTTACCAGCTTAGTACAAGCTACAGGGACGGTTGGAAGTCTTAATATTGTTCGGAAATCAGTGGTGCTAAATGTATATGGAATGTAATGGTGAATGTATTTCAACATCGCTTACATCATATATGTTTCCCTTTACCGGGGATCTAAATATGGTCTGAATCATGACTCTTGGGCAGATGAGAGAGTTATTTTGTGGAATAATTGTTGTTCTCATCAACATATATCGTTCATTACCTGTGGTTGAGTACCCAAAATTTGGTAACATCGTAGTGTAATGTTGCGATGCTCCATTGGAAGGCTGGAGCACCGTAAGCGCTGCAGGATCGGGTGATCCTGTATGCGAGGCGGGTTGACTTCCGGGTTCTGCGGGTAACGCGAGCGGTAACCCAGGCGATGACCCGTCCACTGCTGGACCCAGACCGACAACGCCACTGTATGGTGAACTAGTTTCAGCTACAGCATGCAATAACAAAAAAATAAAAATTAGCACAACAATAAAAACTCAAAATCGATTTATGCATGCAAAAAAAAAACAGTAATGTTAAACAAGCTGACAGAAACGCATCGAAGCTTTTTTGTTGGGATAATTTAAAAACTTCTAAACGGTAAATGTTCTCTTATATATTCGCCAGAAAAAATTTAGAGAAAGAATAATTAAAAAAGAGTTTAATAGTAGTATTAAAAGAAACGAAGTGATATGAAAATATAAAGACGTATTCATTTTAGAAAGTTTGTATTTACAATTTAAGTAATTACTAATTACGATATTAAAAATAAACGCAAGGTATAACTGATATATACAGGGTGTCCCAAAATATATGAGCAATTTCCCATATTTAAATAGAATACATAAAAATAACATGATAAGTTCCCATACTTTTTTCCTACGGCCTTCCATACGGAAATACATAATTATAATGGACACCATTGGAAATGCATGTTTTATTAATTTTTAAAGTACTTGGTGTTTTTTAAAAACTATGAAATTAAACTATGGAAATGTTTACTTTTGCCTGGAAGATGACCCGCCAGAATTATTTTGAAAACAGAGAATGGGCAAGAAAGTGATTTTATGGGCAAAATGGATAAATGATGGCTAATTTTCTCACAAATTTTTAAATTGTTTTTATAAAGTTGTGGTGCCAAGTTAACGAATCTTATTTATTTGTTAAATAATTTAAATGATTGATTTTAAATAAAGAAGCTAAAGTAAGTTTGTTTTGCTTGAAAGTTGTTTTATTTTTAGTAATGTTTATTGATGGACAATTAGAAATAGTTGTGATTTAAAGATTTTAATATTAGATGTATAATAAGTACGTATATGAAATATGAGACAATAATTAGTTTAAGGGAAAAATCGAGGTAGTAGAATCAAGAAACATATTGTAATAGTAGTTTGTGCAACAAGAGTGGATATTATTGCTATATCGCACGAAGACGAAATTTAAGCACGACACCGTATACAGAGTGCTCAATCGGCTGAATGCGATATGGACAATCCACTCGAGTTGTACCGTATATTTTGTCTACGACCCACTAACAAAAATCTGCAAATATTAAAAATTATTTTAGGTCATTAAGATAATATAATTAATTTAAAAATAATTTATGACTTTTACTAATTTATAAAGTAAAATAAACAAGAAACAAATGTCATTTTATTTTTCTCCATCTGAGATTCGAACTCGAGTATTCCGTATGGAAGGCAAAAATACTGGCCACAGGACCATATACCCGTTTATTTTTTTCTTTAATACTCTTAATTAAATTGACTTCATATAATTTTATTTAAATTAACAAATTATTTATAATTATAGACAAAATAAAAGTAGAAATTCTATTATTTATGGATTTTGCACAAGAAGAACTTATTTTAATGTATATTTAATCTCAATAACTAAAAATATATTGACAATTAGTTTGACAGAACTGTAACTTGTTTAAAATTTAAAAATAATAATTTTATATATTTCTTCTACAATATATGTATTATATTCTTTTTAACACTAACAAAAAGTATACAGGGTGTTAGTATATTCGACCGAGAACGATTTACCCCAGAGAGCTCTCGTTATTTGATGAATTTTAATATAGGAACATGGACCTTTAAAGGGCTTATTTGCAGGGTGTTAAAACTTTGAAATAAAAATTCAAAATTTGCCATAAATTTAAAAGGCCTTTAAATATAAATTTCAAATTTGATGACCTCTTTAACAAAGTAATAATTTGACATAAACTTACTTTTGAATTTTTTTACCAGTGACGCGCTCTCAAGGTTAATGGTAATTTTCCCCCTATTTTTACGCTACTGAAAATAATATTGTTTTTTATTTTTTTATTATTATTTTTTTAAATGCTCTGTTCATTTTTAGTAAACAAACAGTGAAGTTTTCCTGAAACTAAAATGATATTTGCTTCAAAACAAAAGTCTACATGTTATTAATGACCTGTAAGTACTCAATATTTTTAAATTCTAATCTAGTAAGCATGTGTCAAATTTTTATAGTTTATGTTTTTGACAAGATCTTGGTAGATTTAATTTGAAAAAAAATATTTTAATATGTTTTTGTTTTATGGTAAATTTAGAATAGTGACTTAAAATTTTTATCTCGGTAATTAAGACCTTTAGTATTTCATTCAATTCAATTCTTTATATTGTAGTAAAAGTGTATGTAAAACATTTAATTTTTTCTTCAACCATATTATAAATATAGTAAAACAATAAAGTCAAATTTTGAACTTGACGTCAATGGCGTGGAAAAAAACCCAAACAATTAAAGCATTATGATTTACAATTTATTTTCAAGATCACATATTATTAGCGCTTTTTGCAACGATTGTAATGTAAATTCAAACAAAAACAAAGCGACCTGGGAATATGGGAATAAATTGAGGGACAGGATTGTTGATAACTAATGAGATAGCATCTACTTTAATTAGTGGATTCAATGCCAAATGATGTAAGCAAAAACAATACGTAGAACAATAGCGACATGTGAATACATGCAAAAATAGGTGTAAAGGACATGCAAAATATCAACTACTACAGAAGCGTGGCGTGTCTGGGTGCTAGCAACATATTAATTTACTTTTTATAATAATTATAACATTTTTAAATTTCGTTTTATAATTTCAAATACCATTGGTATTTCTAATTAGTTAAATTCATTTTTTTACTATAAGCGTTAAACTTAAAACAAAATCAATGGCATTTTGAGAACCCAATAGTAAAAACAATGAACTCTAATTAAAAAAATATTTTATGCATATAATATTCCAATCATACCATTCAAATACCATTGATGATCTTTGAAGAAGCTACGTAATTTATATGTCATTGGTTCCACGAATTCACAAAAATACTAGATCATAATAAGGTTTAGGATACAAAAAAAAAAAATAGTAGGAGTAGATACCTAGGTACCATAAAAGTATTACAGAAGTATTCAAAAGAGTATTAGAAAACCGCATCTAAATCAGAAAACTGAATATCTGTGAGTTGTGGTACATAAATCAGAAATCTCAGATTGATTATCTCCAAACTGAAAAAGGATGAAATTTCATCCCAAAAATAACGTTTGAAAATGATAAATAAGGAAATCATTAAGTTACTGAAACACAAACGAAAATATTGGTTTAAATCTCAATAAAAGACATAATAGTAATTTAGAAAAGCACTATTTAAAAATGAAACTCAAGGAATAAGAGATAATGTTTAAATTACTCATGGAAAATGTTAATATAACCATTTGAGAGAGACCAATACGTAAACCATTTATTAGAAAAAAGAAACAATATTTCACACTTTTGGTTTTTTACAAAATGTTTAGGTCTTAATGACTTTGAAAATGTTTTCACGTTTCCCTCTGCTTTTACTCTTAATGGATCCAAGCGCAGATATGAAGGCTTGACTTCTAGCCTCACCTCCTCTGGTATTCAAGCATTTTTTTAACTCATGCATTCTACCGTGTAGATGGGCTCCGAGCTTGGACACCCATCCAAACGATGACTGGGCTCACACCTCTTAAACTGTGGTCGGTGTTTGAATGAATTTCAGTCAGACAGCAATCCGGTGGCTTTCAAAGATTTTTAAATAGTAATTTATTAGATTATCATGTCCAGGAAGCAAAGAGGCTGGTGATCTACTAAAGAGGGATCAGAAGTATTATTCAGAGGACCGGCATATATGTTTGGAATAAAGGAAACCTCTGCTCGATACCAGTAAACACCAAATTCACTGAAAACACATAAGAGGATACATAATCCGCAGTGGCGGCTCGTGGGCACTAGCGGCAGTGGGGCACACAATGGAAAGGAATCCCGGGATTCGTTTTTCCCTTGGGTAAACAAGTTCTCCGCTTAATGAAAATTAAATATATTTCAAAACAATCAGTTGGGGCAATAACGATTTCTGAATGTGACTACAGGGAGCTAAATGTGACCACTTAAAATGCATTTAACTATGTATGTGGCTATTTAATCAAAAAATCATTACATATCCACTCTTGCGAAATTTGCGTAAATTTCTCAGAATGCAATTTACTTAACAATTCTAACTTGTTAACACATTTTAAAGCATACAACTCTGTATTTGGTAATTTAAAATCTCCCAGTGAAAAATTTCTCTTTTATATTTTCAAATTAGAAAAAATATTTATATCTCTATTTGATAGTTTGTCAACTAAGCCTGGAATTTCCAACGCATGAGCAAAATAGAATCTGGTCATCCTTGCTAACAATTTGCGAAAATGTACACCATTAAATTATTTATAAGACTCAGAATTTTTTTTACTCCTAAATATGCAAACAGAGATTTGAAATCCTCGAAACAGTCAGACAAAACCAAAAAAAAAATTAAAATTTTGTCCCATCTCTATTTTCAGATGTACAACATCTACGAATTTATATCCCGTCATAATAGATTTCACAAATTCACAAGTTCGGCGATGTTTTGTAACCTAGGCAGTCGGACTAAACGTTCAACGGTCGCAAGCTCTGCTGAAACTGGAGCCAACGCAATCGTCCGTACTATTTCTTCCGCTGGATCTAGGAACAAAGTGGTGGGAGCTCTAGGTTATTGCCGCCGCGTACGTTCGTATCTGGTGTAGGTTAATCTGGGACAGCGCCCTGCTTGTGACGTATAATCCATCGCATGTGTTCATCTCTTGCTAAGCGATATTGTCGTTGTCCTTGTTTTTCGCATCATAATGAGAGATAAAACAATAGAGGCACACATTTACTGTGCCCTGTGCCCATCTTCGGAACGTCGCTCAACGCCCGGTTGCCCAGTGTCGTGCCAACGCGGTTTGTACTGAATATTAGATAAAATAATAATATGCATTGAGGAAAATATAAAATATGTAAGTTATTTTTTTTTGGTTTATTTTACTAGGGTATGTGCCCAAACTGCCACTGATAATCCGTGAGCTCATATTCAGGAGACCAAAATCTCGCATGGCTACCGAGGACACCTTCATGTCGTGGGATTAAATAATGATTCCCATACGTATAGATTCTGCATAAAAGGGAGGTAAACCTCATCTTCTAATGCCAAGCTCTAACTAGAAGGGGACACATCCTTTTCGGTTTAGAACCGGAAAGAACGCTCCAGGAACACTTGGTAGAGAACTCAAAATAACTAACCAGAGGCATAGGTCTATTCGGAAATAGTAACTGAATACGGAAAAAGTAGGGGAATACAATAGAACCAAAAGGCAGCAGTGTTCTAAACTAAATATAATCCTACTTGCTTATAACCGACAAAGATCATTTTTTATACGACTTCTTTAGTATTCCGACCTTAAATAATGTTTAATCTTTCAAATAATAAAAATTTAATATATAACATTTTGTAATTTTTAATAAAATGTAAAAGCAGGTTATAACTAAACCTACATTTTTTATATAAATCATCGTATCTCATTATAAAACATTTCAAATACACTGTGCATAATCTAAATATATACCTCAACCTTTAAAGGAAACAAAAGACCTTCCACCAGTCATTAGTAACCTATGCACGGCTTCCTTATCAGTACTTACCGGAATGATAAGGCGATATCGAAGGATCCATTATCCTTGAGGTTTCGATTTTCATTTCGTGCATAGTTATTGGCGCCAGAGGTGTTAACGAATTCAGACCTATTATGTATATTTATTAATAACAAGAAGAAAACAAACTTGTGAACCCACCACCACATATTGCTACAGGTTAGTTAGTTTTAAACTAAACTATTTTGATTGAAGAAGTTTTACAATATTTCTGTATAGTTTTGAAATAATACTTCAAGTGTGATCTTTCTATCATTTTCTTTTAGAGGCATTTAATTATGATCTATAGAATAGGAATTATTGGTTTTTACACTTGATATAAAGTCACAATGTATTCAAATCCATCTATGATTTAGAAAGCAAACACAAAATATCAGGATTTCCTATCATCTTTTTAAATTCAGTAACCAGGAAACTATCATTTTTGATTAAACTCTACAGTTAAAAGAGCTAAATTTATATTAAACGAACTCATCTGTTATTGAATATTATAATTTTTTTTAATTTTAGAAAATAAAGCAAAACATAGAAGCATACAATATTTCTTTAAATTATTTGACTGTTTAATGATATCACAAGAAAAACAAAAGGAAGAGTAGATACATTATCTGCATATGAAAATTGTTAAAGAAAAATAACCAACAAAATAAAAAAATGTGAATATTGTGAATTTACTATCGACAGAAATCGAAATCCAAAAAAATCAATATATCCAAAAAATAAGTGGCTAAAATAATTTGGAAACAAATCTCAACAATCCCCCTACGAATTACTAAGACTCCTGACCCCAAAGGTGAAAACAAATACTTGTAGATTTGAAAAAAAAACCTGTCGTCACTGGCGGTCAAACCCAGACATCCATATTTCGAGCATGTATCCATACCGTTAGAGTATCAACAACATTTAGACTGTCGAGATTCCTAAACGCAAATTTGATGTGCTAGTTCTGGCCAAACGATTAGGTTCTTTCTCAAATCTACAAATACCTCGAACACAGAATCGGTGAATACAAGAAATGTATTTATGCATACTGAGCCCATCAGGGCCGACTAGAGGGGGGGGGTAGCCGGGACCAATTCCCGGGGCCCGGGCTTAAATGGGGGCCCGGCAGCGCTGTAAGGGGGGCCCGACAACAGCTTTTTTGTTCTGCATGAGAAATTCGACACAAGATGAGAGAGGGTAGTTAAGTTTATTAAGTTTAAATTGAAATTATTAAATACAAAAATAATAAAAATAGAAGTTGAGGCTAGAGAAGTTGTTTTCGGCTGAAGACTTTTTTTTATAGAAGAAGAAGTAATTCAAGTAGGGAGAATAGTTTTTTTGTTTAGAAATTCTATAATTCTATTTCAGTATAAGAGGAACAGTTTTTTGGTTAAACATTTTTTATCACGGGGCCCGATCTAGGGAACTGTCCTGGGGCCCGGCCTGGCTCTCGGCGGCCCTGGAGCCCATATCTTCGTCAGCGTAAGTTAAGTTTTCTATGTACGTTAAGATTTTTATACATTTTCATACACAAGTTTATGTCTCTTAACGTTTATTGGAAACCTAACTCACGCAAACGAAGATATGGGCTCAGTATGCATATATGCATTTCTTTTATACACTAATACTGTATTGGAGGTATTTGTAGATTTGAGAAAGAACCTGAACGTCATTTGTCTAAAACTAGCACATCAAATTTCCGTTTTCGAATCTCGACAGTCAATGTCGTTGGTAGTCTAACAGCAAGGACACATGTTGGGAATACATGGATGTCTAGGTTTGACCCCCAGCGACAACAGAATTATTCTTTAACAAAGATTTGTTTTCGCCTTTCGGGTCCGGGATGGTCTTAATAATGCGTAGGGAGATTGTTAAAAAATTGTCTCTCGAAACAATGTATAGGTACCATGGAATATTACGACAATACTGTTAGTTACTGACATAAGTTTATTAATTAAAATTTAAATTAAGAGACAAGAGAGAACATGTATGAGTTGGCAAACCAGATAAGAAAAGACCTAAAGAAATTGCAGAAGAATTGGAGATAAAAAGATAACCTATAATTAAATGTGGCCTCTTCGGCTTGAAGATGGATACAAACTATTACCAGAAGAATATTAGAAATTTATACAAATCATTAAACCGATGTTTTTATTTAATTTATTTTGTTCCCATGAGATCATCAATTATGGTAGTTTCGTTATAACTAAAATTGAAAACCTATATTTTATATTTACCTTCTAAACCAACTATAAACTATTTGGAGCAAAAATCCAATTTCACACACCCAACACTACATCAATAGATTAATCCTTACCTAATGATCCAGCCAACGGAGGTGTATACAGGTTTTGTGATGTCGCTTGGCTCATGGTGTTGATCGTATCGTAGATGTCCGACGCGGAACTAACGTTGCTAACACCAAAACCTGCATGTGTGTCGTAGTAGCCCGATTGTCCCGTTGTGGTGCCCGCACCACCAAGCTCCGAGAGCAATTTGTGTTCATCTTTGATGTTCCATTTACTTGGCGGCCATAGCTAAATAAAAGAAATGTTAGATATTAAAGAGGAAAAGAAAGAATATTATGGAGAGTTACTACAAAAGGAACAAAGCACTAAATTTAATAAAAAGGAGGATAAAGTTAATAAAATACGAGTATGAACAGAACCATTAATATAGAATCATGTCGCTTCGTTCTGTTCAAACAAATTTAAAAGAGAAGTGGAGACAAAAGGTTTAAGGAGACACTTATTTATTTTAGATTGTATTAATTTTAAATTTGCTGTTTCCTTTGCTAGTAGGAATAAAAATGCATGATCAATACGTAATTCGAGTAAGTTTCCATTTATTATGGATACTGTAGATAAAGATCTTGTTTTCAACTCATAGTTATGAATCATGCAATTATTGTAGTAGAACTGTGTTTGAGTTTTCTATAATGATTATGATCATTGTTTTTATTTTAAGTTTTACTAATCTGTATAGAATTTCGTTTTAAAGACATATGATCAATGATCGTGTCAATATTTAAATTTGTTTCAGGAATTAATTAATTATACCAATGTGGATAACATACAAAATTCCAGTAAGCATTAAAGAGCTCCAAAGTTTAGTATGAAGGAATGATTATATTGATCCTAATGTTGATGTCCGAAGTTGGACATAAGGTTAAGATAAAAAGCGTGTCATTTATACAGTTTCGAAAATATATTTTTTAAATTCAACGAACCTCACAAAAAACCTCATGATAATGACATTATAAGAGAGTATTGTGTCACACATCTCCCACCATTACTATTCACTTTAGTATCAATACAGATAAGATATTTATTCATGCTTCATTATTATTTTATCTCGCCCGCAGAGATACAAGAGTTTATTTATAGAAACCATCGTTTAACATTAAAATAAGATGATAATCGTTTGAAATCATCTTCGGTCTAATAAATTCTTAGATTTATTGAATACTAAGTATCTAAGTTACATGAAAGAGTTTTAGCTAAATAACCGTAATGCAACAAACTGATTTCGCAGTCTCGAGACCAGCGACCAAAATAAAGCATGCGTTCGGTGCTGTCTTCTTAACTATCTGTATTAGGGTGTGGTTCAAAGCCCACTCGTAATGAAACTTTCGCGAGTTCTTCAGTTTCTGGATATTGTACGCCTTTTCCATTTAAGGTTCCGACAGTGACATAGTATGTGGATAGGAGTTTCGTTCTCCTCTTTACATATTTTCCATAGAGACTCATCAGATACCCTTAAGAGAATAAGGTGTCTTCTACGGCCGCAGTGTCCCGTAGAGAGTCCTATTACGGCCTTTAGTTCGCTTCGGCTAAGGTTTAGCAGTTCATTTGGTCTGCACTTGGATAGATCCCCACTATAAATATTTTCGACTAAGTCCAGGAAGTTCCAACCAGAGCCTATGATGTTCTCTATTTATTTGTTCTGTTAGCACCTATTTAACATGTTGGTATGAAATACCACATGTGGGTTCTGGTCCAATTAGAGTTTTTTCCACACCCTTCCTGGCTAGGAGGTCTGATTTCTCGTTTCCAAACACTCCCCATTCAAGGACGACCTTGTTATATTTTGCCAGTGCCTAGAGAGACTGATAGCAATCAAATATTAATTTAGATTGTACTTCTACTCTTTTCAGTGCTTTAAGGGCTGCCTGACTGTCTGTCATGATAAAGACCCTCTTATCTTTATTTAGCATAACTTTGGCGCAGGTATTTATTGCTTTTACTTCAGCCTGGAAGACTGTTCGTCGGCTTACTGCCAAAAGTGACCAAGTCAAAAAAATCTCATTTTTGTTTTTATCAACCAAATCACTTAAAACTATTTACTCTAAATCTGGAAAAATTGACTAAGCTAGTAAATAATTTAAAAACAGTTTGGGTATTTATAACATTTGGTTTTAGGTCACTTATTTAATTTAAAACTGTTTATCTCAAAAGTTTGTTTATCTGACTTGGTTAATTTTGGTAGTAAGCCGACGTGTTGTCAGTGACCTCAGGTTCAGACCAATAGTCCTCCCTGAGTTCACATGGTAAATCCCAGCTCCTGTGCTGTTTTTCATTTTCGAACCGTCTGCATACCAGATTGATTCGTTTTGTATTTTCCTATTTTCGCGGCGGTTGGCCCTTTCTGGTATTTGAATATCGAAAGATATCCTAAAGTCATGATAATAGGCGTTCTATCCAATAGCATTCTTAACACCGGATCCTGATTTTTCTATCATTGTATGGTGTCCTTTTCTCGAAAGTTCCCATCCAAATTCATTTTTATGCTGCTGCCATAGCCTCCTTCTCCACTACAAGGTGTAATGGAGGAAGACCAAGCAGTAGCTCCATTGCTGCAGAAGGCGTAGGTCTAAATGCTCCTGTTAGTATTAGACAGGCTAATATTTCTACCTTGTCTAATTTTCTGTTAACTCTTATGATTTTAGTCTTGTGCCACCATATGACTGATGAGTAAGTTGTAATAGGTACTACAATCATAGTATAAAGCCAGTACATCATACTTGGTTTAAGGCTCCCATGTGTTTCCTACCATTCGTCTACAGACCCATTTGTTATTTTTTTCTAAATAACTGCAGAAGCTCAAGAGTGATTTCAAGTAATTTAACCTCTTTGGTCATTTTTAGATGTTGTCCTCACATATAAAGCTTCTTCATTCCTTGAAGGTTTCTTTTTCTTGTGAATGCAACAACAGAGGTTTTCGTCGGGTTTGTGGACAATCCCTCTTTTAGGCACCATCTTTCGACGATATTTAGTGCCCGCTGCATCCTTTCGGAAACAACAGCCCCAAATTTAACGTTTACTACGATGCTTATATCACCTGCAAATGCTTGCGTGTAAAAGTTTTCTCTCTTTAACTCCCATAAGAGGTCATCAACCACCAAGATCAACAAAAGTGGAAATAAAACCTCTCTCAGCGGGTATCCCTTATTAACTGAGACCTATCTTGTTGTGTCAAAGAGATTACTGGCAATGGTTCTGTGATTAAGCATGAACTCAACCCACTTCGTGATGCATTGTGCTATGCCACGCCTGTGCATAGATACCATTATGAAGCCGAATCAAAAGCTTCTTCTATATCTAGGTGCTGCCATTAATGAAGCAACTGTGCAACAATCAAATATAAGTTCTGGAGTCTCACATCTCGAAGTTAAAATTTTAAACTATAGATAAGAGCTACATTTATTTGGTTCAATAATTCAGTTGAATAGTGGTGGGGAAATTCAAGATTTAACAGATATAGTGACCATAATCCTCGAACAGTGAATTTTATGGAGATTAAAATAATTCGTCATAACTGGCATGATATGGAACCTATATCTACGTTTCTTTATTGTTGTGTCAATGGCATCGCATCATATCATACATAAAACTAAAACGTAGATAAAAATATAATAGCTTAAAGATGATTGAAAATCTATTAAAGCTTCAAAATTTGACAATAAGTTTGTGTATAATTTAATTTTTAATTCTTATATTTCAATCTAAAAAAACCATCAATTTATAATTAAGTTATCGATATAATTACACTTGATTAAAATGTATGCACATAAAACCATAATTAAGTGGATTAAAATTTACAAATTAATTAGATAATTTTAAATGCGTAGTAGTTGTTATAGTTGATCCAATTGACTTATGGGACACTAAAATGGAGAGTTTACTAAAATTTATTACAGCGAACAACCGCATACTACATGGGATAAATTAGATTTCATCAAAGATACATCCAGTAATCAACTGAAATTTATGAAAGCTGGTATAATTGTGAAACCCACACCGTTAACATCAACATCAACATCAGATTGTAAATAAACTATTTCCGTAAACAGAAGATTCGATTAAATGTTACATCTAGAGCAATTAACTTACATTTGAATAAAGTTGGTCGCCATTATAATGCGATCTCTGCCTCTTGAAATCATCTTCCGGGTGTCCATTTATATCCTTATTTTCGTCTGCAAAAAAGGGAAATTTTATTAATTTTAATGTAATCAAAAATTGATAAGCTCTTTCATATACCACAATACTATTTTTAGATATTAAACACATTTATTTACAACCATATATGTAATGTTGTCATTACTAATTGAAGGTTGGGAAGTGTCACATTACACATCTCTACTTCCCGCCCTCATTTCATCTATTCTAGATGAATATTTCATATATTTAAAAAAAAATAACACATTTTTTGACAAATTTTATATTACCTATTTAATGGCAAACAATAAAAAACAACAATGAACTAAAATACAACTTATTGATAATTATTATTCGCAAATTTAATATCCGGCTTTATCTGACATTTATTTATATTGGTGACAGTTGTTTACCCCGTAATCACAGTAACAATATATTTACTTGATTATTCTGAGAAAACCGCGCGCTTTGTAATTTGTCGTTAAATGTAATATTTTAGGTATGTTCAGAACGAAACAGAGATTTATTAACTTTGATCGAAATATGATGGTTGTAAATAAAATAGTATACAAACCTCGTTAGGAAGTTTCATTCCTGTCTCGAGATCATATAGCTAACATCTAACTAATCTCACGACAGGAATGAAACTCTTCCCACCTCGGTGTGTAATATGCTATTACAATTGGACAAGTAATAAAAGATTCACGAATGTGAGTATAAAATATAAGGAATAAAAAAGGACCTTTCTTTTTCTCTAATTTCAATAAATAGGTATTTACGTTAAAAATTGGATGGCTATGGTATGCGACGTATCACCAAATAAAAGCAATATTTACAGTATAATGTTAAAGGATTATCAGTGAAATGACCTGCTGCTGTGTTTGACAATATCTTTATTTAACGTACTCATTAAAAAATATTATTTAAGATATTGCAGGTATTTTTACTTGCGATTATCAGAATTTTATAATAAATACCTGTTAAACTAATTTAAATGGATTTAAAATTAAAATCTATCGTAAGAAATAAAAAATATTTGTAACAAAAATAATCTACATCTATCACTGATGATATTTGGGCTAATCCTATATTAATGCGGCTGTATTAACGATGACTTATACATTGGGCATGATTAACAAAACGAAGTTGAGTTTAGTGCATTTGTTTCTGTCTAAATAAATGTTGAACCATTATTATTTAATTCAAAAGCTTTAGAAAAAAGTATTATTTAATAAATAGTTTGGTAGGCAATTCTGTAAAACGCTAAATAAAAGTAAAATTCAAAATTAGATTAGAGTCAACTTAGGACATTTTATTTTCACTATTTTTAAGATTGTATTAATTTAAAAGCATTCTACTGCAACAGGTATGATTTTATAACCTCCAAACAATATATAAAAAAAATCAAAACGCATTTTTAAAAATAGGCTTCTTGTATATAATTGTCATCCTTATTTTATTAAAATTTAATCCTAATATTGTATTATTTATCTGAATTATTTTTATAGAAATATAAAAGTTGGAATTATTGTAAAGATAAATACAATTTGGTAGATAACGAATTTTAAGAGTCAATAACCACGGCGCGTCCACCAAAAAATTAATAATCGACTATTGTCTAGAGAAGAAAGGAATGCAGGAATTTAATTTTCAGAACGTAGTACAGGTTCAGGAGGTAGACATTTTATTTATACCTTATCCTTTAATGCTTATTTAGGGTTAAAATAAAAATTTTAATACATCTGATCGGCCTAATTAAAGGTTTCGTTTAGATTTAATCATGTAGGAATCCTGGACTCGGATGGAACTACCATTACCTAACCTTGCAGAAGCGGGTTCTGTCGTTTTGGGTTGTTTCTGACTAGTAAGATACCCAACTAGGCGGTCTCCTAGGTAAGATCAGGATGCTCCAGTATCCACAAGGGCTATAAATGTATTCTCAAGTATTTACAACTCTATGTGTGTCTGTAAGTATTCTTCTGTTAGCAGTCTCTTGGGAAGGTAGTAACGGCTGAAGCTGCCAAAGCTTCCTCTCATAACAGTTTTGGTGGCGTTTCCCTGTGGGAAGACGTCATGACATACAGGCTCTTGAGCAGGGTGCCTGGTTCCGGAGTTGCTTGGTACGGTTTGTAGTTTTTTTGCAACAGCACGCATTCTTTTACGGCTTGCCAAAAGGAGGACAAGTCATCGAAATCCGTCTTTTATATTTGCTGCATGTACTCGGGCAGCAGGTTGCAGTAAAGTTTGTCTAATTGCTGCTCACTGGCAAACGACCCATGTCTCCTCATGAGAGTCTGCAAGTCGGTAATGTATGAAGTAACGGATTCGTTCCTATGATGTAGTCAATTTCAAGGTCAAAGTGATAGGAAACCGAGAAGTAGAAAATACGAAAATCGTTCTCAAAGGCTTCTTAAGTGAGCCAATGCTTGCATATATTTTTTATATTTGTTTTTTTTATATTTGTTTTTTTATATTTAATTTGGATTATTTTTTAAATATTGATTTAAAACTATGCAAGCCTTCGTAGACATTCGGAATCATTTCGTTTCCCAAGAATTTTGTTAAAATTATTCCTTAAACAATGAAGAAAACAAGAAGTGTGTGAAAATTTCGTTTTTTTAAAGAAATCAGTATCATTTGATGTATATAATTTTTTATATTTGACTAGCCCAATCACAATGGCACTATCAATATAACGTCAGAGTAATCGGATCGAAAATATTATTATTTTAAATCTCATTACTTGAAATCTTTGTGGTTTTGGTTTTGGTGGATGCGCCGTGGTTATTGTTTTTTTGCAGTTTTGTTTATTCTCATTTTAAAAACAACAAGTGCCGTTAAATGGCGCTACTTACAATAATTGTTTGAAACTAAAGAATAAATATTACCTTTTTATTTAAAATAGTAATGTTTGGTTAGGAGTAGAGACAGTACGAAGATATTTTGGTTAATGACTGAATAAACAGACAGATATTAAAATTTCGACCCATGAATGTTCCTAATTTTATATAAAGATATTGGGTTAACGATTGCTAGTTTAAAAAGATGAAACAAAGTTTCACATAGACGGTCGAATAAACATTTATAACAGGCTCCTGTTTCATCGAACTCAATTATAAATTGAATATTCAGTTAATGAAATTAGCTGTTAGACGAAACAATGGTGTCATTATTATAACTCCAAATAAATTAAAAATATAATTGGAAATCCTATATTCAACATAACTGTTAATAAACACTTTTGTCGCAAAGCAAAATTAATAGAGAATTCTCTATTAATTTCAACTAGGCCGGCTCATTCAAATTCTTGTTATTGAAACAATACGCATTGTGGCTTGAATCTAAAATACCAAGTAAATAACATTTCAGCCGCGATACAATTTTAATTCGCCAACGTTATTGCTCTCTCTCTCTTCCATTCCAATGGCGCAGTCGATATTTCCGATTGGATCATGTTCCACACAATAAATTGTAATTATAGGAATGTAATTGAATTTATCATTATTTGACAACAAATATACAATAATAATTGCAATGCAATATTTTTTTTTGTTTTTGGTACCTTTTATGTTTACATTTATGTCACACGCAAATGGAATAAGATGTGATTATTAATGTATATGCCAATTATTTTTAAGGTATATTTAAATTAGAGCGAACAGAAACGAACGAATGAATTCGTTTATTTAGGCTCGCGTAATTTGAACGTTAAACAGAACAGGAACGAACGAGTTCATTTGCGTTCGTCCGTATTCCGATGTATGGCGGTAAAGGAAATTTGTGCTCGATGTGAATAGGATAAAAAATTGTATGTTAATTTGTTTGTTTTCGTTTTTGGAAATCTTGTGAAAATCAGCTGTTGTTTACCGGCGTATTATTTATTATTAATATAGATGCTGAAGAGCCTTCAACATAATACATAAAAATTTTAAATGCCCAACACTGGCATGCATCGAATTTCTCGAAGACATTACGTAATCCATGCTCGATACAAGTAGCCAAAAGAAAAGCATCATGTGGATACTTTGTTTCAAGGCGATTGTCCAGAAGCATCGTAGCAAGCCAAGCGCTTTCTGCGCGGTTTCGTCTCCACTGACATTTAGTCCAGAAGCCACTTCCCACTCAAACCAAACACTTCGCTTGAATTTTATCTGTTTTCCTAAATGGGCGTCAGGTCGCCATGTTAACTTTGATATACTAATTTTAAATACGAAACACTGGCAATAATGTGATTTTCGTAAGACAGTTCTTTACTACGAATATAAAAATGGTTCAGTTTTGTTTTGTGATGTAACAGTTTAATATGATTTTCCAAGATTTAATAGTGTTTATTGTTGCCGGCATTTTATAATACAAAAGAAACTCAGCACTCTATTATTTAACAGTCCACGACAATCAAAAGAATTATGTTAAAAATGTACGAAGAAATCACCTATGTCCAACAATGGTATTACCTAATAAACAGAAATACGATTGTTTCTGAAGCTTTTACCAATATTTTAGATTGGAATGGACAAATGAAACAATCGAACTGTAAAGAACTGAAACGTGTTTATGGGATCCCAAGTCAATAATCTACAAAATAATAAACAAAAAACCAATGCCCGGAATGAAATTTCTACTGAAATGAATTTTGATCTTTTGGAAATAAAAAAAATAATTTTCTTCTTGAAACATTTAGAAGAGAAAGGAAGAAAAAAAGAAAGCATATCTAAAAATCCAGGCTGTGGAAGTGGAAGAGCATTTTGATGGATACATTTCAATCTAAGAACACCCAAAATATCTCGGAACACACCGACATGGTAAGCAAAACATAATGTTTAACAGCAAAAATAATTGAAACTAGCTTTATTTTTTGTTACACACTTTATTTATTAATTCATTTCTTGCTGCTATGGAACATGACCCGATGTTGCTCCATAAATTCTTGCCTAATAGTCACTCATCTGGCTGCAAAAAGTGGCATGTCTTCTTTTTGCTTGCTATTTGTAACAGGTACAAGAGAGGGAGTGAGCAACATATACTATTTCCCGGTAGT